AAAAAAAATACCTGCACATTTGCCCCCATAGGACTACTGTACTTTCTACATACCTGAGCAGTGAACATTGAAGGCCGTGTTACTGCTTCACGCAGGGAATCCGAGCTCTCGCAGATCACATCACTTTTTCTCATGCACCAATGAAATCAGCTTGATGCTTAAGCAGCAACTTTGTAGGATAACAGAAAACAAAGATGGAAAGTAAAGAATACAATTTCTACTTCCCTATAACATAATTATACCAAGTCCAGCTTTCAATATGTAGAAAATATATAGGAAAGTGGTCCGTACATTCTTCAAATGCATAAACAAAGTTCAAGTGGGACTGGCTTCTGGTAGACCTATATTTTAATTCTGTACTACCCATTGTGCCTTTTACTCATATTCTCACCATTCTATGCTTTTTTCTTTTTAATTTTTTAAATACTTTATATTTTAGAGCAGGTTAGGTTTACAACAAAATTGAGAGGAGGTACAGAGATTTCCCCTTTCCCCCTGTACCGCACATGCATAGCCTCCCCCATTATCAACACCACTCACCAGATGGTATATTTTTTTACCATCGTTTACAAAACAATGAACATACATCATTATCACCCAAAGTCCATCGTCTATATTAGAGTTCGCTCCTGGTGTTGTACATTCTATGGGTTTGGACAAATGTGTAAGGATGTATATCCATCATTATATATATATAAAGAGCATTTTCACTGCCTTAAAAATCCTCTGTGCTCCACCTATTCATCTCTTCCCTCCCCATCTTACCCCTGGCAACCACTGATCTTTTTATTGTCTTTATAGTTTTGCCTTTCCCAAAATATCATACAGTTGGAATCATACAGGATGTAGCCTTTTCAGATTGGCTCTTCACTTAATAATATGCATTTTAGGTTTCTCCATGTCTTTTCATGGCTTGATAGCACATGTCTTTTAGCACTGAATAATATCCCATTGTGTAGATGTCCCATAGTTTATAGCAGCTTTATTCATAATTGCCAAAACTTGGAAGCAACCAACATGCTGTAAACCAATGCAGTCCCACGAGCAACGAAGGAGAATTCCTATTGGTTCACGTCCTTGTCAGCATTTGGTGCTGTCAGTATTTGGATTTTCTATTATGTCTGCATTATCCATTCACCTACTGAGGGACATCTTGGTTTATAAACTTCTTTCTGCAGGTTTTCGTGTGGACAGAAGTTTTTATTTTACCTTCACTTATTACTTTTCAGTGTTTTGGATTTTTCAGTGTTCTTCCTTTCTTTATGTAGATCCAAACTTCTGACCTGTATTATTTTTCCTCCCTCTAAAGAATTTCTTTTAACATTTCTTGCAAGGCAGGTCTACTGGCAACACATTCCTTCAAGTTTGTTTGTATGAGAAACTCTTTATTTCTCCTTCACTCTTGAAGGATAATTTCACAGGATACAGAAGTCCAGGTTGGTGAGTTTTTTTGCTCTCAACACTTTAAATATTTCACTCTACTGTCTTCTTCTTTGCATGGTTTCTGAGAGGAAGTCAGCTGTAATCTTATCTTTGTTCCTCTATGGTTAAGGTGTTTATTTCCTCTGGCTTCTTTCAGAATTTTTTCTTTATCTCTGATTTTCTGTAGTTTGAAGATGTTTTGCCTAGGTGTAGTTTTTTGGGCACTTATTCTTCTTGGTGTTGTCTGAACTTCCCGGATTTGTGGTTTGGTGTCTGACATTAATTTGGGGGAAATTCTCAGTCATTATTTTTTCAAATATTTATTTTCTTTCTTTCTCTCTTTCTTCTCCTTCTAGTATTCCCATTACACATATGTTACACCTTTTGTAGTTGTCCCACATTCCTTGGATATTCTGTTCTTTTTTTTTTTTAATCTTTGTTCTCTTTGCTTTTCAGTTTTCGGAGATTCTATTGATATATCCCCTAGCTCAGAGATTCTTTCCTCAGCCATGTCCAGTCTACTAATAAGCCCATCAAAGGCATTCTTCATTTCTGTTAGTGTTTCTTAATCTCCAGTATTTCTTTTTTATTCTTTATTAGGATTTCCATCTCTCTGCTTACATTGTGCATCTGTTCTTGTATGCTGTCTACTTTATCCATTGGAACCCTTAGCATGTTAATCATGGTTGTTTTAAATTCCTGGTTTGATAATTCCAACATCTCTGCATATACAGTTCTGATGCTTGCTCTGTCTCTTCATTTTGTGTTTTTTGCCTTTTGGTGTGCCTTGTAATTTTTTCTGGCTAGCTGGTCATGAGGTACTGGGTAAAAGGAACTGCTGTAAATAGACTTTGGTTAATGTGGTGGTGAGGTGTGGGGGAGGGGAAGTGTTCTATAGTCCATGATTAGGTCTCAGTATTTTACTGAGCCTGTGCCTCTGGACTGTGAACTTCACAAGTGCTTCTCAGTTTTTTTCTCCCCTTAGAGGCAGGACAGGATGGCTAGAGTTGCTGGAGTTGGGTATTTCCCTTCCCCAGGTTGGTTAGGCTCTGATAGTACCCCTGCTGGTTAGGCTCTGATTAGTTAGTGTCCTGAGGGCAGCCCTTGTTAAGAGCAGGGTGCTCTGGTGTATTCCAAAATGGTTCCTTTTCTGCTCCCCCTGCCTGAGGGGATTTTTCTCTGATATTTACTGTGGGAATCTGGTCGAGCTTCTGGAGGGAAATCTCACAATATTGTGGGAGCTCCCCTATGACTGGGTCCCCTGGAGTTTTTAACTCTCAGACTTGTCCACACTGAGCCTCCAGCAATTTGTCAATTACCGTTCCGGTAATTGAAACTACCTGGCACTGTTTCCCTGGCGGTTCCCCTCGTGAGTCTGCTCTGGTCAGCTGTGACTCTCTGTATTCACCTGTTGGTCTCTCCAGTCTTGGGGGCAGTGGTTTGCTCTGTGTCTTCCATCCTGTTATGGATCCAAGAAGAGTTGTTGATTTTTCAGTCTGTTCAGCTTTTACTTGTTGCTAAAATGCAGTGGTGACTTCCAAGCTCCTCACATGTGGAGCCTGCCCAACATGTGCTTTTTCATGCAGCCTCAACATCCCTGTGTGTAGCATGGCAGACATCTTTCGGGAATCTGCTCAGCCTGTGATCCTCATTTTGGAGAAAATCAGGAACCAGTGATGCTCATGTGGAGCTTCTCCCCCGATCCTGGTCACAGAGTGTTCCGTGAAATGCCCACAGGCCTAGCTGTGGTGGCAAAGCCAGGGCAGACGGGTGCCCTGGAGTCAAACTGGAAGGATGCTTTCTTAGCTTTTGGTGAAGGACACAAAGCAGCAAATACGCCGTTGTGGAGAAACTCCTCTACAGATTTGCTGTAAAATATTTAGAATTTATGCTTATGGCCAAGTATGGTTTTAATTTGGAAGGTGCGGGGTATGGTTTGGAGCCTCTAAGAGCAGAAGTCAGACCTGTAGGTGAGAACAGGGAGGCATGGGGCCCTCTTTACAAGTCCTGCTAAGGCTGTGACTGGGGAACCTAATAGAAAATCCCTAGCAGCCAAACATTTGAGTGGTCAGAGGGGGTCGTTTTCTTTTATGTGCTTTGATTAGGGGTAGCAGGGGTCTCCCATTTTAGGGACAGTGTGATGTTGCAGGGCCTGACAACCAGCGGACGTGAGTTCCTGCCAAGTCTCTACACGACGCTCAGCAAACGCCATCCCCTCACCCTCATCAGTGAAGGGCATTCAGGGGTCTCCAAGGTCAAATCCAACTTTGAGATTCCAAGAATCATCAGAGGAAAATCATTGTGCTGGTGTTTCTCTGGGTCTGTGTCTGTCCTCTTTTCTCAGAGAAAAAGACAGAGAAAGACTGGATGCACCCACCACAGAATGCAAACAAGTATCAGTTGAAAACTCTCGGTTAAATAAAGCAATGGCTCAATCAAAAGACATCACACAGAACCTACAAACAACGGCAAAGGAAAGGGATCTTTTGCAGTTTTACTTGGTTTCATCATGGCAGCAGAGTGGGGAGCAGCATTTCCTGTCCAGCTGTCTTAATAACAGGAACATGGCTCCAGACCGCCACGTCTCCCTCAGTGCTTCAAGAGCCAGAAGTTACGAGAACTGAGTTATAAGACGGTTAAAAATCAAAAGGTGTTTTGTGAGTCAGGGGACTTTCCGAAGAGGGCCCGTCACAGCTGGAGGGGAAGAAATACTGGCTCTGGGTCTAGTCAGTGGGCAAATGCAGAACCGATGCTTAAGATAAAACTAAGTTTCCTATTGGAAAAACGTGGAACTAATGAGGAGTGTTTGGAGGGAAAAAAGCAGGATTTACACAGATAGACCTGTTTTCAGTTCACAAGTAGAAATATATATATATTTTTAATCTAGAGCTCAAGATGTTAAGATGTTTCTTAATATCTGATATAACTTGCCATGATCTTGGAATTCCAGTCCAGAAAGAACCAGGGTCAGCTGAGAGAGAAACTGTTTATGCAGAGAGCCTAGTGAGAAATACACTTGCTTGCAACAAATTGTATTTCCTTAAATCTTGTTCTGATGAAGAATCCTTTTCCTTATGGTAATTAGACTTCAGGAATTGTTAGGCTTTGTTAGTTCAATAAAGTGTTATGTTTTCATAGAAAAGACACCATTGAGTAATAACATAAGCCTCCGTCTGTGACTCAGACGGTAACACCCACATTTGGGAGGCCAAGAGGTCATAGATGGGTACCACCACTAACTTGGCACCTCACCAGCTCCCAGGAGGGCACACACAGCCCTGCTCAGGTTAACTCTGCGCAGCCAGACCTGAACGGACAACACGTAGGTGAGGGGGTACGTTAGCTCCTAGTGGCCAGACCCTCTGGGTTCACGTCTGAGCTCTGTGGATGATTGGATGGAGACCTTGGGCAGATCACTTACCCTCTCTCTCCTCCATTTCATCATCTGTGAAATGGGTTATTCATAGTACCTAATTCATAAGGTTGCTGTGAAGATTACATGAGTTATCTAATGTTATATGAATTAACTGTTATTACTGCTATTTGACACAAAGCAATGAAGACTTTTTTTTTAGAAAAAGGAAGAATATGTTTATTTCTCCTCTATCCATTGAAAATATATCTTGACCATCAGTGGCCTTATCGAGATAGCATTTAGGTAGGCGGTGCCAGGCATTACACGGCATTTGATGGTGAAAATATCCGTGCTTTTTATTTCTACTGTCTAGGAATGTGATGCATAGTCAGAATGGAGTAGCACCATGTGAGATAAAAGGACCAAATAAAAGGCAATTCTTTTTGGTTTGGGCAAGGCCAGCTCTTCATTTGGCAGCGTGCTTCTTATATATCTCCAGGAACTCGGTCACGTCTTCAGGGGACCCCAGGATGACTGGCGCCCTCTGGTGGATATCAGTGGGAACGACATCCAGTACAGCTTCCTTCCCGGTGGTAGCCAATCCTCCTGCCTTCTCCATGACATAGGCCATCGGGTTACACTCGTATAGTAGTCTCAACTGGAAAACAAGAGCCAAGAGCAGCGTCCTCACACCAGAGGGTATTACACAGAAAATGGATTTGTTCCGTAGCAAAATAGTGCAGAGCTAGTGGGAGCTTCCAAGATAGTAACTGATACTCCCTTTCCTTCTAGGAGGTTGTAATATTTCCCCCCAAGGTGGCATCTGAGACCAATGGTTAATTTAACCATTTGGTTAAATTAAGCCATTCATCAAGCCAGAGGCAGCAACAGATTGCCTGATGCAAATGTGAGGCAGACCACCTGGACTCAAGACTGAATGACATTTTGGCAGAACTGATGGTTCCCTTCTCTTTATAGCCTGGAAACCGGACCTAATGAGTGATTCTGTGTGTTTTGGATGGAGCTTTGCCTATTCTAAAAGCATAAAAAAATCCACAGTACTGTCTGGCTGCAGACATCTGGAAAGCAGACTGGTTCCTCCAAACAGTATAATATTGTTTGCAGCTCTGTACACATTCCTTTCACAATTCTCCTAAGGCTTGAGGGTTGGATTTAGTATATTATACATCTTGGCATTTACTTTTAAATATTAACTTTTTTATTGTATGCATTTTCATGCTGTCTGCCTACTGAGCAGACAGCTTTTTGCAGGTGTTTCCTGACTCTAGTTCCATACAGGTGTCATGGCCAGATTTGCAAAACTGAAAAAAAAGAGGAACCTCAATATTTGTGTTAAGGAATAATTTTTTGAGGCATTAGAGAAAAGTGCTGTAAAGCAGGCTAGTCACATGGGTTGGGATGCCTGAGGTAGCTATGGCAAGAGCAGTGTCTTAAATATATAAGAACGCCTTCAGGAACTGGACGCCACATGCCATAAACAGAGATCTGAACGGATCTGAAATATATAGATTTCCAACTAACTTAAGGGGATTATTGTTCCTATTCCTTCTCTTACATTAAAAAAAAGACCATCTGTTTATTTGGAAAAACCAGGGGACAATACTTGGGAAGGAAACACACTGTCCCTCAGTGTAGAAGAAAAACGGGGCGTCCCCTAGCCAGCATAAGCAGGCACAGCCCCGCCATGGCTTTCAGGAACGCCGTGGGTGTTAGACAGGCATTAGTCAGGACCAGTTACCTGAAAGCCCCAGGTTTCCCCAGAGGTTCCTTCCTTCTCTAGAAAGGTATCATTTTCCAAGCAGTAAATGTCGGCTCCCTAGTTATTTCAATTTTATGCCTTTTGAAAGCAATCAAAGAAAACCTCTGTGTAGAATACATATTTGATTTGCTGTCTTGGTAATGAGGCTGCACTGTTTCATTTCACTTTATGAATGGAATACATTTTGCCCAAGCCACACCATGTGGCCACTGGAAGCTCTCAGCACTGTGAGTCCCCTCCTGACATAACACCGTTACTTATCTTTAGCATCGAAGGGCTCTCAAAAGACCATTTTTAGCTGATATCCCCTGGCTTTAACCAAGACCACCCTTAATCTAGAAAAGAATGTGCCACAGGCATCCTTAGCGCCCTGCTGCCGAGTATGTCACCTATCATAGCCTTTCTCTCTTCCTAAATCCAATCCCCTAGCTGCCAGTGAAATCCACTGCTTCTCAACCAGCTTTCAGGGGATTTGTTTACCTTTCCATTGGGGCTCTTCTTGTTCGCTGGGTACAGGAAGATCCCTCCATAGACCAGGGTGCGGTGCACATCGGCCACCATGGAGCCCACGTACCTGGCACCGTAGGGGGCCGAGTTATCCTGCAAGGTCAAGACCAGCAATAGTTAGGATTGCTGAAAAGAAAGAAAGGGAGTTAGTTCTTTTTGTGATCTCTACACTTATTTGATCCAACAATCATTTACCGAGCGCCTACAAGGTGTGTGTTTGGGGCTGCGCTAGGAAGGGTGATGAAAATCTTGTTCCTAAGAAGCAGAAAGTAGAATAATGGAGACAGCCGTTATACACCCTACAATAGGTCAGATTACCTGCAGAAGCCCCGAGGAGGGTGTGGTTGATGCTGGGTATGTGGGTGAGGCAGGCATCACAAAAATTGTACCATTTAGCAATACATTGCAGGTTGAGAAGATTTTGTCAGGCTAAGGAGCTGGGCAAGGGTGAGGTTTTCATCTGGTGGGAGAGGGAACTGCCCACACAAAGGTTTGGCGTCACAGAGAAGCACAGGCTGTCACCCCAGGCCTGGGGAGGAGCCTGTGCAGTGAGAGTACCTGTGCAGGGTTCAGGACGGCAGGGGAGTCAGGGTAAGGTGGGACAAGAGATGATGAAGCTGGAGAGAGAGCCTGGGTCGGCTCTGAAGGCCCTGACTCTCACGCTGACAACTTCTGGGCCTCCTCCTCACAGCACAGCAGCATTCCACGGCGTTGAAGCAAGTATGACAAAATTGGATATTCCCACATAGAACCAGCTCTACACACAGCCCTTTCTTCTCTTTGTATTCAGTAATTTGTAACCTCTTTAGAGAGACACCAAGATGGCTGATTTATTATCCTGATTTCTCTTTTCAAGAGAAAGTGGCAAAGGCTGGAACAGACCCTCGGATTTTGACGTCTCAGAGCAGGGAGCCGGGTGGGAACTTCCTCACAGGGTCAGTGCACAGTGGAATCCCAGCCTCTTCCATCCCTGCTGCCTTTCGCCTCCAGGGTAAATTGTGAACCAACAGATTTCTGCGTGGCCCAGGGGCCCTCTCGCACCCTTGGGGCCCTGACTTACTGGGGGGAACTTCTTCCTCTGGACGTACTCAGTGACGGCAGGGTCGAAGTCCTTGGCGTAGCCCTCATTGAGACTGTAGATGCTCCCTTTCTTTTTGATCTTCACATCCCTGTCCACCAAAATGAACTCTCCAATGGCCTGTGAAACAGAAGGAAAGGGGTGTGACGGGCCGCCTCCTCGGGGCCTGGGTGAGGGAGCGGGCTGGGCCGGGGGCGGGGGCCTGTGGTCACCCCCGAGCTTCAGCACAGGGAGTGTCTTCTGGCACTCCTGTGCCTCCCGTCACCTCTCCAAGAACTGTGGACTGGCGAGGGAAGATGCATGTGCTGAGGACGAGTGGAGAGGACACGCGGGAGGCTGAGACGACAGTGCTGCAGACGTCGTCAGGGCAGAGGAGACTGTTGACTTCATTTTCAAATGGTTTCAGTAAAACAAGAAAGACACCATACAGAAATAAGGAGGGCAGACATATGTAAGACTGCAGCAAGACCTGAGGGAGAATAAGAATTGTGTGTCCAAACAGAAGATGTGTATGCCTGTGCCAAAAAAAAAAAAAACAAATGTTGCAGACGGGAGGTGGGAGGCCAGGAGGGACGGGCAGCTGTTACACCAGCGCGCTCAGGCTGCTCCCAGCCTCCCCGGTCCACCTCCGTGACACTGCCCTTGTGTGGAGCCACAGGAAGGAGCAGAACACTGAGCTGTGGTTCACAGCATGTGTAACTTCAGGTGCCTTTGCTCACGAGCTGGAAAGCGTTCTCAGACTCATCCTCCCACAGCCCCAGGGCTAAGCCGAGGCCTTCAGGGCTCTGGTTCTTCAAGGGAGACTCAAATTTGGCGGGAAAGTGTCATATAACTCCTATTGTCCTGGACAGGATTGTTTGGGACTCCTATGTGTTGCTGATAAGAGGGTGATTGAGGCTCTGCCTGTCTGGGGAGAAAGGCTGCTTCATCGAGGCAGGAGTTAAAAAGAAGAAGGCCCATCAGCACATGTCTCCCAGCCATCTATTCCCATAGCAAAGACTGGCTCCTGCAGGAAGGGAGGGAGGGTGGGAGGGAGAGACGGAGGAAGGAAAGGAAGAGGGACAGGGAGGAGGGAGGATGGAAGGGAGAGAAAAGAGACTAGAATTAACAGTGGACATTGAAAGGTATCATTTTTGCTTTGTTGCTTTTTTTTGATATTTCAACAAATTTTGACCACAAATACGTAGAGATATTCTTTTATGATCAGTAAAGCAAAATAAATAAATCAATAGATAGATAAATGTCTTTACAAAAAAGTCTGGAAAATGAAGCCATCACACAACCGGTGCTGCCGAGTTCGTGAAGCCATGCTCGCAGACACCCGCCAGAGCATCCTAGGCGTGAAGGAGAGAGGTGTCTTGTACGTGGAGACAAGGGACTGAGAAGTATTTTGAAAGTTAAAGCCTGCTAGAAACACAAATATAGCCGTGCGTTCTTTTTAGCAGAACCCATCAGCCTGTCCTCGTAGGAGCCACGATGACAAGAGCGCTTGGCTGGTCGAGGCTCGCCCCTCAGGCTTCAGGGAGCAGAGGGCTAATGTGATCATGGAGGGCAGCCAGCAGGGGAATATTACAGAGCTTGGGGGGAGGCTGCATTGTTGCTCCAAACACTGAGTGGCCATTAGGTCTGAGGAGGGCAAAAGACCATCAAACACAGAAACTTACTCCTGGAGACACCAGTCTGCGGTCTGAAAACAAGAAGAGATTTCATTTTTTCTACACATCCATCAACTCAAACGTAACAGAGAAGTCACCAGGAAGAGAGGCTGGGGAAGCAGTAATGTGTGGCGAGAGAGAAATCTGCAAACATCAGCGGTTTCAGAAACTGGACCCTGGGCTCAGACTGAACTTTGCTCTGGTTCTGCCACTATTTTCCCCTGAGGCCGCTCACGTGGAGGCTTCACCTAATGCTGCTCCCCGGCCCTGTGTTTATCAAGCACTTGTACTTCCAAGGAGGCAAAGTCCGGTTGTGTACGAGCGCAGGGCACAAAGGCAGTTCCGATTTATATGCTCTGCTGTGCTCACCATGCCTCACGAGATTCCAGTGGCTGCTTGTACCGGTGTTCACTTTGTCAACAAAAAGCACCGAATAAATAAAATGTTTCACTAATTTCGTATGAGGGCATTTCTAAAACCAAAAAGGTATTTGTAAACCCAATTCTTTTCCCCTTGGGACACTGGACCAAATGCATAATGAACACACAGACCCACTGAAGATTATCCTGTGGAGTCTACATTCAATGGTCGGCTTAGTTGCACCACATATTTAAAGAGACTTCTATCCCCCATTTATCTGCTCTGTTGAAACTGTCATCTAACTAAATAAATAATTCTGATTAATAGTCACGTGGAAGAAATTATCCACCAACTAAAACCATTAGTGATGATTTTTCATGGCACCTTGGGCTCTTCTCCATAGAGTAGCTTTTCTCTATAAGGTGGATTAACGAACTTTCCTCATTTCCTTCTTCATTTTCACTTCCCAGTTTGGTGAGGCAAAGCCTTACCAAAGCTGCACGGGTTAACTTGAAGGTCTGCGTGCATATGCACAACATCAAATGAATTGGGGAGCTATTTTTGAAGAAACAGTGCAATCCACTGCTTCAGCTGGGATGCCCGTTCACCTCAGGAAAATAAGCTAGTAATGGATACAGTGGGTGGCAAATATACAGGCCCCATCAGGTCCATGAATGTGTTTTAGTTGGCTAGCACAGTGTTTTACAAATCCAGAAACATTACATTTTTTTTTAAAAAGCCAGTGTTTCTTGAAACACTGGAAGCCTTGGCAAGACTGGGCCCCTACTCCCGAATAGCAAGAACCACTGGGCCTCTCCAGTTCTCCACAGTCCTCACCATTGCCCCGGCCATCGTCCCCCAGCACACTTCACTAATTTATATGACCTGCCTGGCCTTGGTGGGCATTTGAGTTGGTTGAGTAATGTCCATTCTAAAGAATTAATCTAGGAACAAAGACCCCTTCTTGTGCTCTGGACAGACATTATTTCTTGGCTCAATAATCTTCTCATGAGGCACACATTATCCCTCCATCTCCCTCACCCGCTTCCCCACCTCATCATCCCTGTCCCTCCATGGGCCTCATCTCCCACCTCCACGTACCATCTCCCATCCCCACACACACACAACAGACGCTCACTCACTGCCACCAGCCAAGCACCTAACCTCCCATGGGGTCTCTCACCGGGTCCAGCATAAAGCAGTTGACACCATTCACCATGGCCAGGACCAACATGGTGGCACTGCCGTAGAGAGCATAGCCGGCAGCCACCAGGTTCCGGCCTGGCTGCAGAGCATCCTTCTCAGAAGGCTCATCAGTTGAATTCTAGGACAAGAAAGAAAACAAAACATGTTTTTGTTTTGTGCTTCTTTTTTCTAGTTCAACCATTAGCAAGATGCATTATCAAGGTGATCTCCTAATGAAATAGGGCATCCTCCCAGAGGGCCTTCCTCCATACATCAGTAATATCCTGATTATATTACCACAGCAGCCTTCCCACCATACCCCAAATTTCCTGCTTCTGGATCCTTCTTTCCAATCAGGGTCCTCCTCTAATTTTACTAATTTGATATTCCCTCATTTCTCCATTATCACTTTCAAAAAAGAACATGCCTTCTTGCCAGCTCCCACTAATTTAATCTTATTATGGGCATCAATGTCTTTCACCTGCCTACTCTATCTTTATTTAAACAAATTAAGTCAGGGCTGCGGGGCTGTGGGTCTGGGCAGGAAATCAACTTCATGAGCTCTTGCCAGCTGCAGCACATACCCCATTGAGCAGTGTGGGCCACATCACTCACACAGCAAAGAAATTCTCAGAAACACAGGAACTTAGAGCATTTCTCCAGAGTCATTACAGGGTAGGGCAGATGCTCTCCATTTTTTTGACCAAGAAGCACAGTAAAAAATATAATTTTACAACACAAACCAGTACCAACACACATGCACATGCACATGCACACACAACTACAAAAATTTAACAAGACAATACTTACACTTAGAACATGACATGCATTCTAATCTTTTCTGTTTTTTTCATTAAAAACACAGCTCACTGGATCATGTGACCCACAGTTTGCCTAATACTAAGGAAGGGAACACCTCCTTAGTGTTGGGGGATGGCTCCTAATCAATAATCGCTAATTGATAATTATCTTTCAGCTCAAATACTCTCTATTTGAATTTAAACAGAAACGAAAATGGGCAATATCTGCCCATTTCATTTATTCCTTCCCCAACCGGAGATTCCAGTTGAGAGTAATTAAGGTCATCCACATCATGAGGCTGGAGAGGGAGGTCATCCCGGCAAAGACATTCCTGGTAATTTCTTCCTATAGCTTTTGAAAGTGTGGTCCAAAGACCAACTGCCTCAGAATCACTTGGGATACTTATTAGAAATGCATATTCTGGGGCTGCAGCCTAGACTTACTAAGTCAGACTTTCTAAGGTGGGTCCTGGGAATCTGCATTTTACCATGCACCATAGGTGACTCTTGCATTGAAGTTTAAGAACTACTCATATAAAAGGAAGAGTCACAAAAACCATTTCTCTCCTTTTTCCCCCTCATCCTCACTCCTTGTGTTTAATAAATGGTTTTCATCTAGGTGGCTAGTTGGTTGGTTGGGTTGGGTCGTTATTTGATTTAGTTTGCTTTGTATTCACAGGATAGTGCAGTGCAGCTAAACATAGACTAAACACAGTATCAAAAATTTGAGTTGTTTTCCCAAACTCCAAATTTTGCCAGTGCACAACCTTGAAAAAGGCACCAACTTCCTTCATAGCCAGTGACACAGTGGACGGACTCAGGCCTCTAACTATCCTCTATCACAACTAGTTAACCCTGCCAGTGCAGTGCGAAATCAGACAAAGGCAATACGTAAACCAGTGAATGGACTGGCGGCCACTAGAGGCTTGGAGTAATCAGTTCTCCAATAAGAAAAGTCCCCCAGAGGTTCACCTCGCCCATAACCATCCAGGCCTTCCTATGGCAAAGGTGCACAAGTAAAAATCTTTCCCTGAAATACTGTCACCAAATAATCTTACTCTTGGACTTCCTTGCATGGAACAAGAAATGGTAAAATAGTCTATGATCCACCTACTCAAAAGAAAGAGAAAATAATGCCATGGAATCACAGATTTGGAGGAATTCTTTTCTAGTCTGATGCCCTTTCCAATGCAGGAATTCCCTCTTCCAAACCCCCAGCAATGTATGCCTTTGCTCTCAAGGGATCCATTATATTCTCATCTGGATGCTCACCAATCAATGGGCACAAAGCACTTGGCAAAATTAGAAAGCCTCTGGACCCTACCTTTCTCTACCTATCCCAGGCCACCACCTGGTTTGTTTTAATTCACATCACTCCATAAAGAGTATAGGAGAAGACATCATGGATTCTAGAGACTTGAAGTGGTAGAGAAGAAAGTCAGGCAGAAGTGGGGTAGGGCTGTCATGTCACCAGAAGTCTTCCCTCAGAGTGGCAGCCAAACCCTCCCTAGAAGATCTTACAGGGCATTTCTCAGAGTCCCCGTATCTCAGCCAATATTGTTCACCTACTATTGCACCAGCCAATTTAGCAAACAAAAAATACATAAGATGAGATCCCTGCCCTCAAGGAGTTTATAATCTGCAGTGAACATCAGTTGGTTTTGTCTGGCCAGCATCCATCACTCTTCTGCTCTTAAATCTTCTTTAAAATACTGCCTCCCTCATGCTCACCTCCAGGGATGGGCACATGACCCTGGCCTGGCCAACCAGATCACTGCATACCTCAGGCCATAGTGATTGGTTGAGGGATGGGTACGTGACCTAAGCCAAGCCAATCAGAGCCAATGAGATGATGTGCTTGTTGGAATTGCTGGAAAACAGGCTTGTATTTTCTGCTGGGGTTGCTGAGAGGATTGCATGTGAGCCTGGACCTGCTGGGAGCCATTTTGCCACCAGAGGGGAGGAAAACGATGGAGATGGAGAGGAAGTATGTCCTGATTAGATGGTCTGAGTCTCTGAATGCAGCTGCACCTGAAGCAGACTACCCCCTGCGCTTTCCACTTATATGAGCCAATAATTTTCCTTTTCCTCCTTGCCTCCCCTTCATCCTTTCTTAAGTTTGAGTTGTGATATTGTCCATTGAATCTTAATACACAAAACAAGACAAGTAATATTAATAGCTACCGTTTATCCAGTGCTTTTTGTGTGACAGGCACTACCTTCAGTGCGTTATACTTAATTTTCAGTATCTCCACTTTACAGATAAAGAAACAAGAGGCATAGAGAAGTTACTGTTCCAAGGTCCCAGAGAGCTGGTAAGTGTCAAGGTCAGGAAGCTACACTCCACACGGCTGTTATTAATAAGTCTCCCTGTGCTCAGTTAAGGGAAGTAAAGTGGATTCCGAAGCTGCTAGAGCACTTTTGAAACTGCTTTGGTTGTGGGGACTGGATATTTCTAAAAGACATTGTAAATTAGAATGTGTCCAGTAGAGGGTAACCATGCTAGAGAGAAGTCTAAAAATCGTCTCATATGAAGATGTTTAGCTTAAAGAAGATTTTTAAAAAGGAGGGGAGGAGAGGGCAGAAAAGCCATTTCCAAAGATGTAAAAAAAAAATCTTATTTTCTGATGCTCTAAAAGGCCAAACAAGCAATAGGGAGACAGATTCTGACTCAATGTTTAGACAAACATTCTAACCATGATGGTCATTCAACAACTCAGAAGAATTCTACCCCTTCTGGATGTCTCCAGCCAGAGGCTGGGTGACCCCTTGGGAGGTTCTGCAGCAGGATCTGTGTGGAATGCTGGACCACGTGCTCTTCCAAGTCCCTTTGGAGCCGGCTTCCAGGCATCACATGGGCGAGGCCTGATCAGTTCCCGGTTCCAGTTACTGATGCTGTGCCACTGAGCAGGTGCACCAGGGAGCTGAATTCTAGCCCAGAACCATCTCTGCAGGAAGCAGGAAAGGTCTCCTTGGAAGCATCAGACACATCGATGTTCATGCCCCATAAGCCCTCAAATGGTTTCAAACAATCAATAAGACTTGAAAACTGAAATAACTTAAAGGTGGGTGTCAGACTCATCATCTTTTTTTTCCCCCAGTCTTTTAAGAGTGTGGAGACTCACTGTTGACTTGAGTGTTCTAGCATTCGCAATTCAAGCTGCTGTTGCAAACTGGTTTGATTTTTTTCAGTTGATAGTGAGTGTCTCAGTTTTCTAGAGTTTTTTCCCTTTAAAAGGTCTCTATTTGGGGTGTTGAGGTGGAGATGGGCTGGCAAACATGAGCAGTGCTTTAGTTTGCTTGAGTCATTAACCAGAGGTCTTCCTCCACATGAGGAATTTTGCTACAAAGCTCTCTCGCTATACATAGATGTGATCCTTTGCAGGGAACGTTACATCCCTTCCTGTCTACAACAGGAATGTATGCTTCATGGTATGACTTGGCAAATAAATGAATTGTTGCCTTTGCCTTTCTGTATGAGCATTAGAACTCATGACTTCTATGACTCAAACTGATTTTGATGTGGATCTGCCTCTCAGCCAAGACAAAAACAAAACCCATCCCAGCGGTGGCAGAGAACTATCCCGTGGTGGTCCCACTTTCCACATGTTTGAAAGGAGAGTAGGTGCAATACTAGACAACTAGATAATACTAGACAGTGAGTCACTTGGAAAAATAAAGTGCAAATTGCGGTCTCACTTCTTCAGTTCCGGCCTCTGTATCTAGAATAGGAGAGTGGGGAGGAACCTCGGAGGTCAGGTGAACTAACCGCCTTGTCCATTAAGATGAGGAAACAGGCTCAGCCTGGACAGCATCTGTGAGGTTTTACTTCTAAATAAACAAGAAGGGCTGAAGCCAAGATGACGTAGTTTAGATGTCGTACTGTTTTATGCTGGGCCATGGGCATTCCTTCTATTTTTCACTTGTCCCTGTGCTCGAGTGCTCTCCTACCACCCACACCCACCCACATGTATACACTTAAGGGAAAAGAAGGAGAGAGACTTTGGAGTTAGAGTTACCTGCCCAGGTCATACAGGTGGAACAGCCAGGGCAGGAGCTGGGGTCCCCATGCTGCACCAGTGTGCAGCAAACTCTCCATAAATGGGCAGACAGTCAACATTCTGGGCTTTACCGTCACACGGTCTCTATCACAACTATTTATACCTGCCAGTGCAGCATGAAATCAGCCAAAGGCAACATGTAAACAAACGAATTGATAATATGCCATTAAAACTTAATTTATGGACAGTGAAGATTAAATTTCATATAAATGTCATGGGTCATGGAATATTATTCTTTAGATTTTTTTTCAGCCATATAAAAATACAAAAGGGTGGAGCCGGCCTGGTGGTACAGTGGTTAAGTTCACGCGCTCCACTTCGGCGGCCCAGGGTTCACAGTTCTGGATCCCGGGTGTAGACCTACACCACTCATCAAGCCATGCTGTGGTGGTGTCCCACATACAAAAGAGACGAAGACTGTCACAGATGTTAGCTCAGGGACAATCTTCCTCAAGCCAAAAGAGGACGTTTGGCAACAGGTGTTAGCTCAGGGCCAATCTTCCTCACCAAAACTAAAAAAAATTCAAAAGGGTTATTTTTTGCTCACAGGCCATGCAAATCAGGCAACGGACTGGATTTGGCCTGGGGGTCATAGTTTTCAGATCCATGATTTAGAGGACTTAAAGGACAATTTTGATATAAGTAATCTCTTCTGTTGTCATACTCTCACAATTCTCAGTTCATGTAGTATCATCACAGTAACTACCCTATACTGTCTCTTTTATTTTAATTTCATTTTCTATCATAAAAGAAAGTAACATATAGTTAAAAAAGTGAAATATATTTCTCTTTCCACCCATGTTTTACTACATTTTCTTTTAACAACTTAATGGATCTTCATTACGCAGTTAATGCTGGAAAAGTCAGATCTTGAAATATAAACCTATTTCAAGCCTCACAGAGTTTTATGATACCCATTCTGGCTGCTCCTCCAACAGTGAAACAGGACTGGATGCTCAACATTAACTTTTCTTTTGATCCCAAACCAGGGGCTTCACCTTTCTGTAGATGCCAAAAATGGTTCCAATGGACACAAGGCAGTCGATGTTGGAAGATCCATCCAGGGGATCAAAACAGACCACATATTTACCCTGAGCAAAAAAAAAAAAAAAAAAAACTTTAAAAATAAACACATTGGAACAAAATAGAGAATATATACCAAGGGAGTAAAAAAGGGAATCTAAGGGAAAGTTCAAGAAATGTGAGTCTTGTTTATATTCTGTCATGGAAGGTATGAGGTGGCATATAGAATGAAAACAACGACTCATATATATACACACCAAAAGATCATCAGGCAGAGAAAACACAACTTAGAATAGAAGGTGTAGATGAAAGTGATGGAATATAGATAAATAAGTCATAATTTCCTACATCATTGATATAGATGAATCATAATTTTGGTTTGAGTTTCCTGGCAGGCAAAGGAAGAGGAGAAACAAAGTTAGTCACTTATTTGTCTTTATTCGTAAGAAAAGAAAACATAATTCCTTAGGTGAAGCAAAGACAACATTAGGGTTAAGATCTATAAGACACTTCTCATGCAGATCTTATAGATTACACCTGGGGTTGCAGCGCATGGATTTTTCAACACTATGCCTATTGTAATTCCTAAAGGAAATAGCCCTCTGTTGCAATGGGAACACTATAGACCCATTCTTTGAATGGGATTTTCAGTGGTGTGCTGGGTTGGGCTCGTTGGTCTCGGCTCTCAAGAGCTAATTGTGCACGTCTCTTCCCAACTCCGCTTCTAGTGGTATCAGGTTGTAGCTTAACATCACCCATGAGGGAGTATTTACACAGCTGAAATTGGCAAGTGCTACAAATCAGAGATATTTTTTGAGAGAGTCAGTTTACCAGCACACCACTGGGGATTTTTCATCTCCAAATTAGCCACTTTAAGATGTGGTTTTTACATTTCTGCATCAAATTAAGATGATTCTCTGATTTCCTGACCTCTTGCTCTTAAAAAATCACCCTGGCTGATGCAGGAGAAACTGTCATCTGGAAAACAGGAACATGCCTGTCACGAAGGTACACTGTAGTCAGAGAAGTTTGGGCTGACTGATAGAGAATATTAAACAGCAAATTCAGCCCACATGCCTAAAACTGCCAAGTACCTTCAGAAGCCCAGCAGAGAACAACATGGACTTTGAATCTGACATGTAATAGTATCCTAGGAATGATGTAAAACAAGTTAATAGGATGTGGCTCCCCGCCCCTCTTAAAAAGGTCAAGGCTGGGTATCAGGTAGCCTCTTTAAATTCATCTTCTCACTACTTTTTTCTAATTCTACTGTGCTTCATGTCCCCAATTCATCTCAAACAGGGAAAGACTGTAAGCCCATATAACTGCACTTCTCATCTCAATAGTGTTTTTATTATTATACAATTGTTGTTGTTCTATAAAGCTGGCTATACTCTTTCATTCAATTTTTAAACAATAATTTATTGTTGAGCCCCTACAATGCACCAGGTATTGTGCTGGATGCTAGGATACAGAGAAGAATATAATTCGTTCTCTGCCCTCAAGGAGCAATCAGATTAATAGGATTCCAATGCATGAATCAGTGATAGGAATTGTGAGCAGTTTATACTGGCAGGAGAGTTGGGTGTGAAGGTTGGGAATTTGGTGGATGGAGATGAAGCAAAAGAGGTAGTTAATAGGAGCCAGACTTCGAAGAGCCTTGAACATGACAATAAAAAGTTAGGCGTGGAGATGAGTGTGAGTATCTATGAGTCTCTCCCACGTATGAGAACCCAGGAGAGATGATAATGGCGTGGCCTGTGGTGGTGGTGTGGACAGAGGAGGACAGTAGGAGATATGGTCGTGTGACATGATGACATGGTTCAGGAATGATATAAGGTGATTCCTAGGAATCCAGCCTGTCTGAACAAGTAGAGTCAGTTATGAAGCTAGGAAGAAAGATGGTCACATTAAAATCCTCGACAGCAGCAGTGCAGACCCACCCTTTTCTCAGGTTCTACTATTATGGCGTGTTTGTCTTCTTCCGACACAAGAACACAGGTGGCAAAGGATGACTTTAACACGTTAACAACCAGGTCATTGGAGAGGACATCCAGCTTCTTCACCTGATCACCCGTCACGTTGGTGGAGCCAGCAATTCCATAGCTAGAGGGAAGAAAAGCCACAAAAATATAAGCCTTGACCACTGGAATATGACGATGCACCTATAAAGCCACTGAAAGCAGGCATTTAGCAGGAGTTAGAAGAAAGGAAAGAAGACACGTGGTTTGGGAGAAACAGAGCAAGAAAGATGGTCATCCCTCTGGACTGACTCCTGGAGGGAAAGAAATATTGTCCTTCATCTCTCCAGGACCTGTCACAGTACACAGCACACCTTTGTGGTTAAATCTATATTTCTCAACTTTTTTTCATTATGGCCTCTAAGGAGGCTTTTTAGACTTTTTTTTCCCTGATCACACTCCCTCATGGAATTTTAATTTTAATACTACAGATATAGTATATATCTGTTTATGCACTGTATGTATACCTGTGTTTTATACACAAAAAGATTGATTTTTTCCACCTCCCCCAAGAACCAATTTTTACCCCTGAATTCATGGGTTAATGCATAATGAATCAATTGAAAGACACAGCAAGCAGGGAAACCTTCTGGGCAGGAGGGAGCCTGAGATGAGAGCAAAGCCAAGGGATTCTTTGGTTTCACAGCTGAAAAGATCCTAAAAGAAAAGAAATTTTGACTGGTCCCCCCACCTCACTTTATAGAGGAGGGCGCTCACTCCAAGACACTAGTGGGCGTGTCTGAGCTGGAGCCGGGGAGCGGAGCTGAGCGGCTGCTCCTGACTCCCAGGCCAGGCCTCTCGGAGGGGCACCCCGCTGCCCTTGGCAGGAGTTCTAGGGGCTGGAGGGAGTGGGAAGTCTGGAGTTTTTACTTTATTTTCAAGGTACCTGCAAGTCAGTAATTGTGGCATTCCCAGAATCTGAATGGTTTGCCCAAAAGCCAGCCTCGTTCGTTAGAATGAGGGAAGAGGCAGGTTGTCACAGCCTGGGGTTGAACAGGAACACTGAGAGAAGGGGAAATAGTGTAGAGGAAGGATGCACAGAGCAAGATGAGACTGAATGTGAGAAGAGAAAGAGTCGGAGCATTGAAGACACCGCCAAACACCGGCAGGTGGGTGATAAGGGGACAACCGCCCCCGTGGCTGAGATTGCCAGGAGCACTGGCCCAGGACTGACGGTCGAGGCATCCACCACTTCAACCCCTGAATATGCATTTTCTCTAAACATAACTTGCGTGTCTCTGGCCGGACAAAACTGAGCCCACACCAGAAACTGTCCGAACCCAAACGCCTCACGTGGCCTGACTCTCCAGGAGGAGCTCCAGCGGTCTCATCAAGCCCGTTTTCCAGTGTCGCCACTTCTGGCATCACTCCCTTGCCCACATAGAAAACAGTGTCTCATCCCTCCTCCCATTTCTTCTCTTTTTCAACACGTCACTCACGTTTCATGAGTAAAAGACCAAGGGATCTATCAGTCTTGCAGTTATAGCCCATGTCTCTGGGCTTTTGCTTCTTTTCCACATAATCTCTTTCTCACCTCAATTGTGAGGCCGATGCTGGTGGAGAAAGAGGGCAGCCAAATTCTGGGTGGAACCAGAGGGGCTTGGCAGGGCTCACCAGATCAGTGCATCTCCCTCACCACCACTGCCCCTGTTGTCTCTCCTTCCCAGCAGAAGATTTCCACTGTTAAAGTCACTACTAATTCAGGCAGATGAACCGCGTTGATGGAAAAGAACATGGGCTTCCTGACAGAGACTGGCTCAGACCCTGGCTCTGCAAGTCCTGCCCTCTCCAAGCCTGCCTTTTTGCCGGTGCTCCCGGAGGACAATGATCTCGTGGTGCTGTGGGAGGGTTACATGCAATAAGGTACACAAAGGGCTTAACGTAGCCCTTGGCACCTGAGAGATGAGAAAAAAATGTTAATTCCCTTGTTTGCTCTCTAGAGGGAGCGCTCATTGGGGATCTGCACATACTGTGGGAGGGACGGAGGGACTCGGAGGTCCCCCAGGCCTCATCCACCATCACACTGCCATCCTTGTTTATTCTTTACTTCCGTGAGGATGAGGACAGAGGGTACGTGTTTCCCCCTTGTATCCCAGCCTCCAGCACATAGTAGACCCTCAATGAATACTTGCTGGATGAGTGAATGGCATTCCTGAAGGAGAATAGAGACTTGAGCCTGAAGGAATGAGCATAGGAGCCATCAACTTAAGGTCGTTGCATACCTTGGAGGGCTGGGGAAAGCCACCCGCCCGGTCCCCAGAGGGGCAGGCCTATGTGACAGCTCCAGGGAGGCCTAGGAAGCTGCCTGGGGACAGGCCTATGTGACAGCTCCAGGGAGGCCTAGGAAGCTGGGGCAGATGGTCGAGGCACCAAGGCAGCCATGGGAAAGGCCTGTTTCACACTGTGGCCCAAGTTCCGCCTGCTCAGGTATCTTGCTCAGGGAGATGGGTGAAGAGCCATCAGGCCAAGGTCCCTTCTACTCAAAAGCTCCCTAGAGGCCTGTGTGAGGGTTCATTATTCCACAAATATTTACTGGGTGCCCACTGTGCCCCAAGACCTGTTCTGAGTGCTAGGGTCACAGTGCTGAACTGGACAGATGAGACTGCTGCCTCATGGAGCTAATATTCTAGAGAGGGAGACAAACAAGAAACAAAAAAGTGCTTTGAATGAATAAGTCAGAGAGCGACAGGTGCTCGAATAAAATGAAACAAGATGCTGGGGGCAAGCAGGGCCAGGGGTCTAGAAGCTCAAGGAAGGTCTCACTGCAAAGGGGCCATTCAAGCTGAACGATATTTTGTCTGTTTTTCATAAGAAAGGGAGGGTATGGAAAAGCCCTAAAGGAGCCCAAATAAGTCAGCCAGTAACAGCCCCAAATAAGAGCTCCAGGTCAGTCATTTATCCAAAAACAACAGGGAGTTTGATTTTCACGTATTTCCAAACAGGAGGGGGCTATTCTGTGCACATTTTCATAAGTAACCTTTTAAAACTCGAGGGCTTTTTCCTGTGACACCCAGATCCAGGGAGCTCCAGAATGCGGCAAGAGGAGACCAGAGGAGAAGGCCCTGCACGGCCAGCTCTGGTTCGCGGTACTCCTGAGCCTGCCCCACTGGCCAAGGACAGACTAGTTTCTCTGTGACTGTGTCACAAACGCAGAGTCTCCATCCTTTGTTTAGTGGGACTGAATGGAAGTGGGAGAGCTCCTGATGCTCTGCGCTGCATTTTCTGAGCCTGCAGACTCAGCAGCTGGCCAAACAGAAGTGAGACTCAACTCCTATAGCCCCAGATCACGCCGTGGGCTATGAGAGGTCACAATCAGTACCAGGGCGGCTGACTTGTCCAGCCAAGGCCACCAGCCAGGCTCCTCACTGCTGCTCCAGGGCTCTACGGTGGCTCCTGCCCTTGGATCACAGAGGGTGGCACCACCTGTCTGTCCATGATAGGAGTCGTGTGGAGCCATATAACACACTGCAGGGTGAACACTGGGGACACTCACCATGCCCAGCACCAAAATGACTGTCTTCACCACCAAACCAGGGCAGACAACTGACCACTCCTCTGGCTCGGCCTCCTGCAGGGTTGGGTGGTTACCTCCCCCTTCCTCCTCCTTATCCCCATTGAGGGTCCCTCCTCTGTCCTAACTGGAAGGACTTTTCTCCAACTATCCTCCAGTTGCTTGTGAAGAATAAAAAACTTCTGGAGAAAGATTATTCTAGCCCCATCAAACTCAAAAGTCAGGCACTTTATAACTTTTTTCGGACGTCTTGTGGGAGGGTTTTCCCTGATGAGTGCTGGTGTTAAGAATTTCTTCGAGAAAGTGCAGGGAAGTGATGCTACGGTAGAGACAGCGTTCAGGACAATGAGCTCCTGGGCTGCCATGTCGACAGTAGTGATACTGCAGCTTCTGCCATATCACCGGGTGTTCTTTGTGTTGCATCTTAGCACGTGACGTTAGCCATGCCTCGTGTTTCTCCCACCGCCCTGCATTGTTCTGCTCAGGGACAGCGAGTTGGGTGAGGTGAACGCTCAGGCAGGCTTCTCCCAACAGGGCTCAGGAGCAGCCCTCAGAGGGCTGCAGGACATCCCCAGGAAACAGGTTTCCATGGGTCAATGGAAAGCCAGAAGCAGGTAAGGCTTCTGCGGCTTCGACAGAGGAAAAAAGCCCTCAGAAATATCCTCAAGGATCTAATTGGCTGAAGAACACATGGAGTTTATTTTCTCCACAAGTTTTCAGAAACCCCCTTAGAAACAATAAATTTCTGCATTCTGATCAGTCATCCTTCCTCAAAGGCCCCGGAGGGCAGATGAACAAGAGCCTTTACTATACATTCTGATGGCCACGAGGAGAGAGCAGTGTAACCCACAGACAGGATCAGGCCTTTTGCTTGGCCCAGTGAACTAGGGCTTGGAAAATGAATCAACTGAGTTCCAGGCAGATGCCAGGAGAGCCTGGCCCGGTTTGGAAGGAGCTTCCATGCCAGCTGCTGTGAACAGGAGAGGATGGCACCAACCCCCTCCATGGGGCTTGACCAGTGCCTTTCACACACCCCCTGGCTCTTTGTTAGATCAGTGCCCAATTTGCTGCTTCCTCGGGCCAGAATCAGGCAGCAAATGAGGCTTCAGGGATGTGGGGGACCATCAGACAACCCTGTCAAAAAAAGCCTTGCAGGGGCCAACTGTGCCCGACAACCAACAGACAAAGAGAAACAAGCCAAAAGGTGAAGAAATGGGCTGACCGGAGCAAGTCGTAAACCTTTCGGCTTAGCTCCCTCCCCACCCCACCCAGAAAAGGAATCAGCAGCAGTTGGGCTCTGATCATGCAGGGACAGCAACATTCGTTTTGAATAAGCCAGTGCCCTGATCTGCCCAAGATGCTTTGCCTAAATGCAAGTTATCACAAAGGCGAAAGGCAACATCACAGGCTTTTCTCCATGGGCTGGGACTCTAGGCCACTGGGGTTCAAATCCCGGCTCTGCCACCTGCTAAGCAACCCTGGGCAAGTTGCTTAGCATCTCTGACCTTTGGTTCTTCACCTGTAAAATAGGAATTTAGTATGTCTACATTGTAGTATGTAGAGAGGGGGAGTAA